CTCTGAGTGTCCGGGTAGGTCGACATGTCTTTCTGCGGATTGTTACCTTGTAAAATAGCACGTTAAAAAATGTGGCTCGGCGTGTCGGTCTGTTCCATATCACATAATCATGTTCTTATCCTGAATATATATTTATTTGCCACTGAGCCACCCATTCATCCGTCGGTCAATGAGAAAGATACCCAACAACACAAAACTGACATTAAGAAGTCACAATGAGGTCTCAAACAATAAGCCAAGCAGTATTTTAAACGACAATTTCTGAACTACTCATCCTTTTTCAATTGAATTATTTTTCTGTTAAATAAACCAGTTTCCATGTCAACTCTATGTTTGCAATGATTTAATGTAAAATTAATAAATAAATTGAAATTTCCAAATTGATAAAATAACACGAACTATAACTATATATTGTATAATCAGTATGCTATTTGAACGCAACGAAAATATTAAAAAAATGTATTCAAAGATTATGCTCCTCGTCACATTTCTCGCATGTGTTAACCTTAAAGATAGGAAGAAAAAACACAAAGGGGAGGAGAAGTGAGGGGGGTCAACATCCTAAAGAAAAGAAAAATATAGAAAAAGAAAACTTAACCATGACAATCCGGATAAAAAACAAATTAGAAGCACTACAATGAGATCAACAGACGGAGACAAGAACCCCCACGAGGGGTGAACTCAGGTGCTCCGGAAAGAGATAAGAAGTTCCTGGTTCACCAGTAAAACCCGTCGTGCTGCTTATGTAGAAAACAATACGTTAAACATTCCTTTTAGGTGAGTTATCTGCAGGTAAAACTACACAGATATTGAAAAATAAAGATTTGAAGTAAATCAGCAAATGATATTTGAATTGTGAACATTCGCAAAAATTTTCAATAAGTAATATTCCTTAATTCTTTGTTGTACTTTTGTAACATTAAGACTGACAAATATTTTTTTTCAGATAGTGAAATGTGGAACACGGTATTTGAAATCCTTCTGGTGACATTTTCTGTTACTATGGTAACTGGGATGTCTGATTTTCTCAGGTAAATTTGACATAAGCACCACGTCATAAATACAGACTAATCTACTTGTCTAGACATAAATTTTAGCCATATCGATTTCCGATACATTTATAAATAAAAAATCTCGACAAAATAAATATCATTTACATTCTCAAATAAAAGACATAATTTGTCAATGGTCGTCAAAAGGGATATATATTGATAAATAAACATTTCACGCACCTAAAAAGGGCTTAGACTTAATCCTTACAAGTCTGTACTGCCAAGCATTACCATTCATTATAATACAGTAAAGGGCAAAGCATACGTGCTCAAACATAGAGCTGAAAATATTACACGTTTACAGGTTCAAAAAGTTAGCGCAGATGTTACAATAAGTCACATGCTATGAAATGTGCGTAGTAATTGTGGTTTTCTTTCACTTAACATTCAATTCAAGCTGAAAATGCTTGCATATGACTCATTTTGTTTTTATACGATAATAATTCTAAAATAATCTGTAAATAATAGAATACAATAAAAAAAAAAAACACACACACAAAAGAAATGTTGTCTAGTTTAAAAACAAACCTTCGTTTTCTTTAAAAATAATGAATTTAATAAAACTATTTCAGGGTAATTTACAGAAAAAGCCTCCCTGCAGACTTGAAGGCCGGTTTTAAAATGGATTTTCCATACAAGATATACGTATACAATCTCCCACCAGCTTTAAACGAGAACATCATTAAAGAGATTACGAAAACGAACCATGTAACAAAAGGCATGATGACGGCTTCAGGACTTGGCAGAGAGATCTCCAAATTGGGGAAATACGACGACATGTCCATACGAGATACTTTTCAGTTTGGTCTAGAAGTTATCATGCATCAAAAACTTTTAAATAGTCCTTACAGAACTTTAGACCCAGATGCGGCTGACTTCTTTTATGTACCCGCATACACAGCATTACGATGTATAGTGAAAGATAAAGATTGCCAGAGCTGTTTATTCAACCGGTTTTTAAGCGCTCTAGTCTCTTTCCTACAACAACAACCTTATTTCAAAGAAAAGAGACCTCATTTTTCAGCCATTGGTAAGATACACAGAGAACTGGCCGATTTTGAATGTCCATATCTTTTATACCCCGTCATGAAAGAATTAACGTTCTTTGCAATTGAAAAAGAAGCACCAATCGAACAAGGAGCAGGAAATTTGTTGGTGCATCAAGCTGCACAGACGTTGATCGTCGTGCCATATCCTTCGTATATCCATTTTACTGCAAATACTGCTAGTGTCATGGGTTTCGGCTCTCAAAGAACTGTTTTTACTCTGCTTCCGGTTGCGCACCCAGAAGAATCTACCTTAAGTACAAAACTTTCCGCTCAATTCAACGGAACCACAACTTACTCTTATGGAAAATATTTCCGCAATTACAAACACGGACAATACGATATGATTCAAGTTAATACTGACGCAAGAGACAACGAGGTAATGATTCGTAAAACTATTTCTTGGATGACTCACTCAATTTTCTGTCTGCATCCCCCTGGGGAATCCACCACCAAAAGATCATTTTACGACTCCATTCTCTGCGGTTGTATCCCAGTTATATTTATAGACAAGCTTATTCCATATGCATTTCCATCTAGCTTGGACTACAGCAAATTTTCAATCGCTATAAAACAAATTGATATTTTACAAGGCAAGAATATTGGAGATATTTTAAAATCGATTAGTCCAAACGTTGTTAAGCAACTGCAAAGAAATCTAGATCTTATTTCTCAGCGAATGCAATATTCTGTTTCAAAAGCTAATGTCCCGGATGCAATTGACATTGCACTTCTGGAATTGGCTAAAATAACTGAAGACACCGAAAATGCAAAAGATGAAAAGAAGACAAAATCTATGTAATGATTACTTACTTTAGTAACTAGTAGTATAACAAATTTTCATTTTCATTTTATTGATTTAGCAATAAATGTACCATTATCATTGTAAAAGAAACTGTTATTATATAAACTTTTTTTAATATCTTTGACTTTTTAATCATAGTGTGCAAAATCACTGTGTTGGGGTAGGTGTGTGCTTGTACAAAATCACGGTGTCTGGGTAAGTATGTGCTTGTAAAAAATCACTGTGTCATGGTTAGTGTACTTATACAAAATCACTGTGTCATCGTAAGTGGGATTGTACAAAATCACTGTGTCTTGATTAGTGTACTTGTACAAAATCACTGTGTCATGGTTAGTGTACTTGTACAAAATCACTCTGTCATGGTTAGTGTATTTGTACAAAATCACTCTATCATGGTTAGTGTATTTGTACAATATCACTGTGTCATGGTAAGTGTATTTGAATAAAATCACTGTGTCATGGTTATTGTGCTTGTACAAAATCACTGTGTCTGGGTTAGTATCTGCTTGTACAAAATCACTGTGTCTGGGTTAGTATCTGCTTGTAAAAAATCACTGTGTCATGGTTAGTGTACTTATACAAAATCACTGTGTCATCGTAAGTGGGATTGTACAAAATCACTGTGTCATGGTTTGTGTACTTGTACAAAATCACTCTGTCATGGTTAGTGTATTTGTACAAAATCACTCTATCATGGTTAGTGTATTTGTACAAAATCACTGTGTCATGGTAAGTGTACTTGTACAAAATCACGGTGTCATGGTTATTGTGCTTGTACAAAATCACTGTGTCTTGATTAGTGTACTTGTACAAAATCACTGTGTCATGGTTAGTGTACTTGTACAAAATCACTGTGTTATGGTTAGTGTACTTGTTCAAAATCACTGTATACTTATACAAAATCACTGTGTCATGGTTAGTGTATTTGTACAAAATTACTGTGTCTTGATTAGTGTACTTGTACAAAATCACTGTGTCATGGTTAGTTTACTTGTACAAAATCACTGTATACTTATACAAAATCACTGGGTCATGGTTAGTGTGCTTTTACAAAATCACTGTGTCTTGGTTTCACTTTTAGTAGCCATATTCATAAGTAACAATGGAAAATAACACGGGACATTTTTTATCAGATTTTTTTTTATTGAGGAGTGTGGTCAAATATAGACAATGTTTATATATATTTGTGTGTACAATTTTGATTACGCTGTTTTTCCCAGTTGTTCTTCTCTTAACGTGATAACAGAAATTTACAATTTCAAAAGGAGTGGTCGCATAACTTGAATAACTCAAGAAGACATTGTTATCAACCCACCCTGTTTGAACATCCTAACATGAGACCAACAGTCGTAAGACAAATAGATCGAGGGGTATCATTAAAAAGTAAGTAAGTAAGTAAGTAAGTAAGTAAGTAAATTTCATCTAAAGTCGGCATATATGTATATAGTAACAGATAGAACATGAGCTCTGGTGAGCTCTTTAACCGACTATCATATAAAAACAATGCAGCTTCATGCAAATACTAATAAATAAAAATAAAAAAGCATGCAGATATAATGAAAGCAAATTAAATTTTGATTCCGGGACCTCCAGGGTCAATGCTCATGCGGCAAACACCTCTATGTGCATTGAATGGGGGAACCAGTAATTACTGAAATATCATAAAATACTAACAAAATAAAATAACATAAACTACTGTTTTATTATTATCGTATGGATAAGAGCTACGAAAACACATGAAAAAAGTGCAGATGTGTCGTGTTATACAATGCATTGGTAAAAAAGATAAGAGAATTTTTTTTAATTTAGAAAAAGGGGGCCCTTTCTCCAGGAGCCTGTGGAAAATGTTGTAAATGAACGTTATTTCACATGTTGTCACTTGTAAAAAGGTCAAAATACGTATCAGGGTATTTAATACATTCATAAATGAAAAAGTTTTATCAATGATTGTTTAATTTTTAAAACAGTGTCATTTGTTTCATTCAATTAATGAAAATTGTAAAATTGTTAATAAGATCATCCGGATAATCATAGCTATATCCGTAACTGGAATCACACACAATGCAATTTATTGTCCAATCAGAATTAATCTTACAAAGGGTAAAGGTAGAAACATGTAAACAAAAACATACCTCAGTTTACCTGTGCAATATTTCACGGTCATTGTTCTGCACTGTTATTGACTTTTTATCTGTTGATAACGCAATATAATTTCGCAATTTGTGGATATTTGGAAATACTCAGGTTGAAGATATCTGGAAAATGGTAAGTTAACATGTAGATTATTCTATTTTACCTGTTCTTTTCATTGGTTACCCGTTGTCACAGTGAACAGGTGGAATGTCTGATTTTAGACGGCACCGAAATGAATTTATTCATCATTTTAAAAATTCACATTGAACAGTTGGTTTTTTTTTTGTTTAATTAAAAAATGTGATTGATCCCGTATTATAGATACAGTTGTATATATATATTATAACACATACTACAAGGTAAAACTACAAACTGAAAGTATATATAGAAAATCAATATTTGAACGATTTCCATAATTTGTTTTCATTCGTACTGAAAAATCACCGACCTACTTCTTTCTTCAAGTGAGGCATGTTATGAACTACTGGACATATACGAATGAAAGGGAGGAGATGGACTTCGTTGAAAAAAGGGGTGTCCCACGAATGAAAATTGTGATAACTGTATAATCAGATTATAAAAGTATGTCAACAGCATATGTCAATACTTAAAGCACTTGTAGGTTGAATGATCTTTATCAGGACTGGTCGTCGCAAAAAGCTTGGGAAACCAAATATATTGATTTACAATTAGGGGCAAAAAGGCCAAAAAGTCTATCACCAGATTCGCCTGAGTTTGTATAAATGTTCCAGGCAGAACTGCTTTGCATAAGGGGGTTGAAACGCTGGGGTTAATTGTCAATAGATAAGGAAAATAACGTCGAAGATTTATACTTATCTAGATGGTTAAAGTTCTGACTTAGTTTTGCAAAATTTGCAATGCTACGCATACGTTTGTATTTGAGCATTATGGTATTTTCACCTTTCACCCATAAAAAGCTCATAGAAATTAGTACATGCAGTTGAAACGTCAAAAGTGTGTAAGGTACAGATATTTTATTCTTAGATGCATGCATTTTTTTTATTAGTTGTTATTGGCTTTGAACTTCAAATGTAGCTATTAGTAACTGCGAGTACTCTCAGATCTTTGCCTATTTGTTGTGGGGATGTATAAGTACCCTGCCACGTCCACTCTGTGTTTTTGTTACTGGTTTTTGTGCTTGTATCTATCTGATGAGTTAAGCCCTTTTTTATAGTTTGTTCATATATTGTAGTTAGGGGGGGGGGGGGGGGGGGGGCGCCAGCTAAAATTGAGAATGGAAATGGGGAATGTGTCAAAGAGACAACAACCCGACCATAGAGCAGACAACCGCCGAAGGCCACCAATGGGTCTTCAATGCAGCGAGAAACTCCCGCACCCGGAGGCGTCCTTCAGCTGGCCCCTAAACAAATATGTACATGTATACTAGTTATAACATGTTTAACATGTTTAACCCCGCCACATACTGTATGTACATGTATGTGCCTGTCCTAAGTCAGGAGCCTGTAATTCAGTGGTGGTCGTTTGTTGCGTTTGTTTTACATTTGTCATTTCTCGGCTTTTATAGCAGACTTTGCGGTATGGGCTTTGCTAAATGTTGAAGGCCGTACGGTGACCTATATAGATGTTAATTTCTGTGTCATTTGGTCTCTTGTGGGGAACTGTCTCATTGGCAATCATACCACATCTTCTTATTTTTATATCATGTGTATGACAGAAGTTGTGATGTATATGTCAAATAGACAACAATCTAAAGAAACATATTGAGATTGTTATCTAATTGACATAGTTTTACTACGTTAGTGACAAACGTATACAGAACATCTATTTTTGTCCATACGGGTCAGTTGTGACATTAATGATACGTAATTGCAATGAGCATCAAATTATACCAATCAAATATATTAAATAAAACTTTGTTAAGATAACCACGTAAATTTGTGTTTCCTCTGACCTACCGAATTAAACTTCTTACCGGGTTTGTACTAACACGACAGGTGCCACATACAGTTTTTGGGGGATTATGTGTTGCTCAGTCTTTGGTTTTCTATGTTTTGTTTTGTGTACTGGTTTGTCTTTTTATGCCCCCGCAACTAAAATTTGGGGCCATATTGTTTTATTCCTGTCCGCCCGTCCGTCCGCTCTTCCGTCCCTCTATCCTTCCGTCCCTCCGTCCCATTATGGATATATAGTTATTCCGCATAACTCCTCCTACAGTTTGAATGCTAGGAAGTTTTCACTTTGCTGTCTGTTTGTACATATATTGAACATGTTTAAGGTGTGCATGTGGTAGGGTTTTGATTTTTATTAATATTTGCTCTTTTGGGAGATAATTGAACTTTGTCATTTTTGGAGTATATACTTGCGTAAGAAGTGCATAGCGTTTCCGGATAACTCCTCCTACAGTGAACCATAGACCTATGTACGTGCTCCCATACTCAACTTTGTGTATGTTAGAATAACACTTTGCATCTGCGGGGGCATCATTTGTGTCTCCCAGACACAATAATATCTCAAAGAAAGTCTTACATTGACTTTGTTATAATACAGTTACTTCAGAATGGAGTGCGGGGACACTTTGTCTAGTTCTTTTTAGTCAAGGCGTTGTCAGTTTATTTTCGACTTATTAGGTTGAATTTCCCTTTGGTATCCTTCGCCTCTCTTTTAGTCCCTATTTATTTATTTATATTTTTGGAATTGGAAGAGTTATTTTATAATACACATATACCACTTTGGCTCTTTCCACAACAAAATTGATCGCAAGTTTTGCTGAAATGTTTATGACTGAAGAGTATTTATTCTCGTAAGATTTTTATAAAATTGATCGTGGAATTGTAGAGCTTTTTACATAGCGAAACACGCTATTTTGGACTGTCAGTATGAGCATAACTCATGCGAATAATCTTCAATTACTTATGAAGAATGGCTAGAAAATGAAAGATGAACTGAAAGATCTATAAACCACTGAACGTTGTACATTTGTGTGTACCTAGTACATGTATATAAACATCTGTTGTAAGGTTATACATCCACTTGAATTTAATCCTCTCTTTAAGTATTTTATCATAATATTTATATTAAAGGTTAATCGATAGTATTGTTACATTGACTTGATTGTTCAATATACATAATTGAATTCAGATCTGATTTGGGAAATGAATACTCTGGGGCGATTACGATCAAAAATAAACAATTCTGCAAATATGAAATTACGAAATAAGTTATAAATCATTTATGGTCTGTCTTGCGGTGGTGAAATTAATAATACTAGTAAAATGAAAAAAAATCAAATCACATTTGGAGATGTTCTTTATTTGTGATAAATTTTTAGAAATATTTTGACTAAATATATTTTTTTCTGAAAAAGAGATGAATAAACTTATTCAAATTTTGAAATATAAATACGGACTATTAGTATAGTACTACACTACATCTCAATGATAACGCTTTCGTTCCTGTTGTTGCATACCCTAATGCACAAAAGGAGAGGATAAATACGTGAATTTTATTGGTCAAGCTTGGTTTGTTTGTAAATTATTTACCATTGACAATCCTATATATATATACACATATCAAATTGAACATTATCGTCAAAAGCTTCAAAAATTTGACATTCTATAGCAAGTTTTATCATATCAGGATATCGTTCAGCATGAGTAATCTTATTAATATCTCGTAATTAAGGTGTTGATTTAAATTTCATTGAAATCCTTGACGCATCGAACATTATTGAAACTATTTTGATTATTTTGTGACCTTGAAAATATTTCAAATTCATTTTAAAGTATGTTTTAGTATTATGCGTTCCGTATTGAATGTCTGGTATTTTAAACCCCATAGGTTGACTGGTGTATGGAAAACTTCAAATATTGCCATTCATGGACTTCTACAACCAGACAGTAAATCCATGCACCCGTTTTGCACTTTAGGTGGGACTGGGGACACTAAGTTCGATAACTATTGTAGTGAGTGTATTAATGCTCTTCGTACTCTTAAAACACTTGCAACAATTATTTGTTTTTAGGGTAAGCATTTTCGGAGACATAATTTCTAAACCAATACAATATACCCTCCTTTCCAGTAGCAATCGAAATTCGCTTCCTTCGTCCTGGACTACCTACTTTGAAGGACCTACCTATTGAATTTATTGTTTATTTGAACTCTACAGTATGCATGAAATATTTGCCACTGAACGTCAGACAAACAACAATTAATCAATTTTTAAACTGTTAAAGATCGTTTGATTCAGCATTAGTATGAGAATTCAACTACATAACGTAAATAGAAATACTATTCAATACAGCATTTAGTTATTTCATCGATGTGTTTACAAAACAAGTGAGTAACATGAATAAAACACACCAAAAGTCGACTGGGTTGCAGAAATTTTTTCACCTACACTTCTACCGGTCGACAATAAAAATCATGCTAAGAGACAATCAGGGTTTCTGTGTTGGATGTTAAAACATACATACACCTCCGATATGAATAATGAGGTAATTTTATTCCCCATATATTAAGTGCCATGCTCTCTACACTTTACAGAACTTGTGCAACAGTTTTTTGCGGCTTGTTTGTGGAGGTGAGAAATTCGGGCCCTTTACAACGTATCCCCTATTTCCTAGTCAAAGTTCAAGTTTTCCACAGCTTTGCCTTATAAATAAAATATCTTTAATAATATTCGTCCTGAAAATGCATGAAATATTTGCCATTGGTCATTGAGTAACCAATGAGACGCTACGTACAGTATAACTATATGTAGATCCACCCATTATTTCCCTCAGTTTGAATGTTGATTTATCAAATTATGATCGAAGTTTGATTTAGTTTGTAATCGTGTGATTTAAAAATACTTAAGTGCAGTCATTACACAGTCAGTAAAGTAATGCACAATTTATAGGTCAGATTATGGTGTCAAGGCTAAATGCACAAATCCTTGACTCCAACAGCTTTGTTTATGAGGGTCTGGATGAGGTTTACAGAATAGAGAATAATAGACCAAGTCTACAGAAAAATGGAACTAACAAATAAAGAATAGAGAAAAAAGGTCAAAAATAAAGAACAGAGAACAATGAGGTGCTGAAATATAAATAATCGAGAATAATGGGAAAAAATATAAAGGAAAACATGACAAAAATATTAAAGAATATAGAAATCATAATTGTATGTATTGAACATGTAATGGAAAATCGAATCCATACCCGAAAAAGAGTTCTTTTAGAAAGTTTTCCAAATTAAAATTGATGCTGGAAAAAATATCAAAGAGTTATTACCAAATACTTATATTGTCCGTTATATTATTGTTTCAGACACAGTCAGGCAACGAAGATTTAGAAGGTATTTATATTTATATAATTTGTTATGTTATTTTGTAAATATTTTACCGAACCAGAAATATATTCATATATGACACCTCACATAGCTTAGTTGTTTTGTGTTGATTTAGCTGGATAGTTACATGTTAAGAACACTTGATAACGATTTACATACAGGAGTATAATCCCAAATTTAACATGTTAACGGGGAGATATTAAATCGAATCTAAAGGGCGGGGTATCCTTTTCTGAGTTTAATCTTAGTTCTAGTTTTCGTGTGTACGCAATACGTATTTAAGATAATTATTGTACGTTCGATAATTTGATTTCAGCTTTACGGGAAACTTTTGACATCTTTGACAAGAACAAAAATGGCAGCATTTGTGCAACAGAACTTGGTACATTGTTGAGAGCAGTCGGTGAGAATCCAACACAAAGAGAAATCGAATACTTCATAAAGTCATGTGATAAAAACAGTAGGTTTATTTACCATTTAAGAATTTCTATATAGTAAGCGGCTATATGTGCATTTGAAGGTCATTCATTCTCTCTGGCTACTCCGGCTTCCTCCGCCAATAAAAACCAACCGCCACGTATGTACGTACAGGTTGGTATCTCCGTTATTCGGAGCCATGAAAAAGACAAGAGTGATGAAATTGCGGTTGACATCAAATAACAATACTGTACTATCAGATTTCTTTCATTGTCGACCGTCATGGCAACATAAAATTTTATAAATTTATAAACGCGTTTTATGATGCCACGAGTGAATTCTTACTCATGCAAAATAGTCCTGCAAGTGATAAAGAAATTTTTGATTTCGACATATTTCGTTTTGCATTTGTTTTTATTTATAAGTTATACAGTTTTTACTGCGTTCATTGACGTGTGATCTCGGACTTCCACTTATTTCATTCAGTTAGTGAGTGAAAATGCCGAGTTTCGAGCCAATAAACATCTTCAAAATTAACCCTTACTACAATATTCTGATAAAAGTTTGATGCAAATAGTACAAACAAGTTCAACGGGAAAGTGTCAACGTACAATGTAGTCAGTGTTTCTCATTTCTAGTATAAACATAACAACAGTAACAACTTTATAAAACAAACTGTGGTATGGGTTTTGCTCATTGTTGAAGGCCGTACGGTAACCTATAGTTATTAACTTCTATGTCATTTGGGGGGCCTCGGTGGCCGAGTGGTCTAAGTAGTTACTACTGTAATCACTAGCCAGTCAACACTGAGGTTGTGAGTTCGAACCCCGCTCGTGCGGGTGCACTCGACTCCAATCTTAATTGACTAGGATTGTCAGTTTTCCTATCGAAGGTCGGTGGTTTTCTCCGGGCACTCCGGCTTCCTCCACCAATAAAAACTGGTCGCCACGAAATAGCCCAAAAGCGGTGCTTAAAAGTGGCGTTAAAACACCAAAAATCAAATCAAATCAAATCTATGTCATTTGGTCTCTGGTGGAGAGTTGTCTCTTTGACAATTATACCACATCTTCTTATTTTTATATGAAATGCACATACGACAATATGACCACCAAAATACACCTGTGTCGTTTTGTCTTTGCTTCCAGATAAAAAAAAAATACATTTTACATTCCAATATTATTGTGGGCTCTGGTACGAGATTTTTAAATACGCAGCAAAGTCCCGTCTCGTTAAATCCAACGCCTTCTCTAGGAAGAATACTAAGCCCTATGTACGCTTAAATACTTGTAAAACAGTGTATGATGGGTCTGAAGGTAGCACTTTGCCCAGGCTTTGCAGAAAATCTAAATATTCGGAATTTTTATTTGTAATTTTTTCTCGTCCTGAATTTTTTAAACTACTATTACACAATAGTATATTATATTGTTTCCGTGATAATTAAAGATAAAAACAATTTAAAAAAATGTCAATGGAATTTAAGCAAACAACAATCAATCAATCATTTAGAATAATTAAAAGCATTGTAGCTCGGATGAACATTGAATGTACAGTTATAAATTGATTACAATCATTGATCATGAATATCGACCATTATGCTTACAATATCGACCATATACTTACAATATCGACCATATGCTTAAAATAACGACCATATGCTTACAATATCGACCATATGCTTAAAATATCGACAATATGCTTACAATATCGACCATATGCTTACAATATGCTTACAATATCGACCATATGCTTACAATATGCTTACAATATCGACCATATGCTTACAATATGCTTACAATATCGACCATATGCTTATGATAAGAACCCAAATGCTTACAATAAGGACCCAGATGCGTACTACAATAAGGACCAAATGCTTACAATTAGGACCTAGATGCTAACAATATGGACGCAAATGTTTATAATAAGCTAAAGGACACAAATGCTTACAATTAGGACCCAAATGCTGACAATTAGGACCAAAATGCTTAAAATATACACAGACATGTGCACGAAATTTAATTTATCAGCAATATGCTGTACTTGGAACAACAACTGTTTGAAAAAGCATAGTTTATATAATTATTTATAGTTACCTTTTTTTTTATATTTCAGAAAATAATGTTATAGAATTTGAAGACTTTGTGGCGTTAATGGAAATAATAAGACGAGATGCGACCCGGAAAGAGGATCAAGAAGAAACTTTAAAGAGAGCATTTAAAATATTTGACAAAGACGGAAATGGGATGATAGATGTGAAAGAACTTGAGAGGGTCACTACACAGTTAGGGGAAACACTCAGCGAAGAGGAGTTAGCACAAATGTTTAAGATAGCAGATGCTAACAAAGATGGCAAAATTGATTATAAAGGTATGTTGTCATATTTACTAAGTCGTATGGTTGATTAACTATTTACATTATATTATCTTTTAAAGTCTTTTTGTGTTGTTTGATCGTAAGTTTCTGTGCTTTTTGTATTTTTTTTTTGTTATTGACAAAGATGCTGTGTTGTCTGTCTTTTCTTAAACTTCCGATTATTGATATGTTCTTAAACTTCCGATTCTTGGTATGTTCTTAAACTTCCGATTCTTGATATGTTCTTAATTTTCTTCAGATTCTTGATATGTGCTTAAACTTCCATTTCTTGATATGTGCTTAAACTTCCAATTCTTGATATGTTCTTAAACTTTCGATTCTTGATATGTGCTTAAACTTCCAATTCTTGATGTGTTCTTAAACTTCCGATTCTTGATATGTTCTTAATTTTCTTCCGATTCTTGATATGTTCTTTAACTTCAAATTCTTGATGTGTTCTTTAACTTCAAATTCTTCATATGTTCTTAAATTTCCAGTTCTTGATATGTTCTTAAACTTTCGAATCTTGATATGTTCTTAAACTTCCGATTCTTGATATGTTCTAAATTTTCTTCCGATTCTTGCTATGTTCTTTTAAAACTTCTGATTCTTGATATGTTCTTAAACTTCCGATTCTTGTCTCGCCTGTGACGAAAGTCGCGGAAAGCGAGACATAGGGATTGCTTTTCCGGCGATGGTGACGGCTGCGGCGAAGGCTGCGATGACGGCGTCAACAATTGTTAAGTTTCTGCTTAAGTAAGTTTGATAGGAACGGTACTTATGATAGATCATTAATATTTAATAAAAGTTGCATTACTATCAGTACATATCAGTTTGAAAACTATTTTAAGGCCCTGGTCCAGTGACCTTGAATTAATTATCAATTTTCAATGTTAAGTTTTCTAATTAAGTTTATTTGATAGGATCTACTTGTGATAGATCAATGATATTTTGTATGACGTTGCATTACTATCAGTACATATCAGTTGCACAACTATTTTGAGGCACTGTCCCCTAGGTCATAGTCAAGTGACTTTGAATTAATTAGCAATGTTCAATGTTAAGTTTTTCTGCTGAAGTTAGTTTGAAAAGAACTACTTGTGTTAGATCAATGATATTTTGTATGAAATTGCATTACTATCAGTACATATCAGTTTGCCGACTATTTTTAAGCCCTGTCCCCTATGACATGGTACAGTGACTTTGAATTAATTAGCAATTTTCAATGTTAAGTTTTTCTGCTTAAGTTATATTGATAGGAACTACTTACAATAAACAACGATATTTTTTATAAAGTTACATTACTGTCTGTACATCTCAGTTTGTAGACCATTTTCAGGCCCTGTCCACTAGATCATGGTCCAGTGACTGAATTAATAAGCAATGTTGCTGTCCATCAGATTGTCTTTTCTGAATGTTTTGCCGATAGGCGAGACAAAACTCTGTGTCAACAGTTTATTAAAGTATGTGCTACCAATAGCCAATACAGACTTTACTTTTCAGACAATATCTTGGTTGTAGAATGTGTCGGATGCAAATGTTTAAAAAATCACCTTAACTCAAGACAATAATAATTGCCTAAATTTTTACGTCCTACATTATTTAATAAGCTATGTACTTTCTGAAGGTATGAATGGTTCTTTGATTGCGCTGAGATGACTATCCATTAACAATAACACAATCTTATCGATTTTCTCCACCATGATGGCCATTATAATCGAGCGTTCTTAAGTTTATATTATTACTTTGCAATGAATACATTAACATGATGACTAATAAGTAGTATCAAGTGTCAATCTACCTAATTAGCACGTTCAGTGACGTAGAAGATTCATCAGTTGTCCAAAAATGCATGAAAAAAGACGGAAAGTTATTTGTAAGAACAACGGTGAATATTTTGAACAGGTTAATTGCCTTAATAAATTCGAAGCAAGATTCGAGATGCGTAATAACTGTACAAGATTGAAATGATGTGTACATGTCATTTACAAAATGCAGGAATGCTGATTTGGTCTGTCTTTTCGTCAGAGTAAATATACATGTTATACATAATTATAGTATTGAAGTACTGGTAACAATATTCAAACTATACTGGTTGTCATCTACATGTATTGTCAAAGTTTATTGATATGCAATATGTCGGATACTCATGTTTAATGTCAGACTGCTATTTGACAATGTATCAGCCCACGTGACACGTATTTGCCGTCGATTTTAAACAAGAAACTATAAGACGATGCTTCCCCTTACTTTATTTTTCAGATGAAAGTGCGAAAGTTTGCCAATAAGTTTAATGATTATTTCAGCATGTTCAAATAAAACACTTTAATGTTTGCCGCAAACATGGTGGTCAAGATTAATCAAACAAAAATGTAGTATATATCATAATATTTACTATCTTTTAGTCATTTATCATATGTGTCTATAATTCACTTTTTCAGAATTCACTAAATATATAACGAAGCCAATTAGTAAACAGCCAATGGGTCATTCAAAGAAAAATCACCACACACATAAAAATAAGACATAAACCTACAGTTATATGGACTACCTCCATTCAAAGAATCTAGAGACTATTTGATAGAGAATTAATAATAGACAGTTTTCAGGAACAGACAATTATGTTATAGTATGATATTTATGAAAATAGTGTATTAATCTGCGCTTTCATAATCTTGAGAAGCATATGGGTCATTTAATTTCATTTAGATAAGAACTGAACATACGGCTTAATTATTGGAAAATGTACATTATGATCATGAAATATTTGCACATAGCCGTTTCTTTTACTTTGATTGTCGATTAAATGTTGTTAGATTATTTTTATACAGCAAAGGGAGTCTCATCTCATCTGGATGTTTAGGTAAACGTTGTCCCTAGCATCCTCTGATCTACTTATTCTAAGGTGTAATTTATAAGAAATGTAATTTTTTCCCGATTTTCCAGGTAAAACATACGAGATACATATTTACAAAATATTATTGCATTTCATATTAAAAAAGGTAGAAATATTTCAAAATACGTCTGTAGTACGACAAAATGATAATGTTATTTGAGAATTGGTATATTATGATTTTTTTAATATATGTTCTGTAACAACAGATTGAAATTTTTGTTAATATTGTAGTTTACATGACCGCTATGTTACATAACAAAGTACCCATAGTTTTGTCGTGTGCGTCATACAATTCTTCGGTTTTAAATCTAATGCATTGTGGGTAATATTTTCAAAAACGTATACAAAAACAATGGGCTTGAATGACGACGTCATAATAGAAATTCAACCAATGAAGTGACGTTATTCTCATTTATGTGATACGAACAATGGAATTACCTATAGTCTTTAGATTCTATTTCGGTGAATTGACTAATTAATGCCCACAGTATTTTTGATTCTGAATTAATTACAAATGTAGGTAGTACTTTTACCTTGTTATATACTGTGTAAAGATTTGTTGTCTTTATAGATGTACATTTATTGATGTTCTTTAATTAAGATATATATACAATATCTGTACATTGATGGAAAATATAAAATTTATTAGAAGAGCTTTAGAAACAGTCTAGCCGAGGTTTTTTCCTTTTTCGTAACGAGTACAAATAATTTTTATATTTCCAACAATGTACATATTAAAAAAAAACTGTTTACTTGTTTAATTCCAAAATGTTGTCTTTGAATTTAATTAAAATCGACATCTTAAGTTTGGACCGCTAAAGGGACCTATAAAAAAAAGAAGTCACGTAAAAATTAATTTTAATATTACTGTGCGCTCCAGTTGGAAGCAGGGTAAGATGGTACTGTTTTTAACAAGGAAAAATGACGCAAAACATATTTGTATACTTGTTATTTGTACAATAGTAGGCTGATTGCAGGATAAATACTGAAACTATTCTCTACAGCGGTAACAGGTATTTCATGAATTTATCAGATAAATATACAGGTCTTAGCCGGGTTATCCCCATGTATTTTCTAAATTCAAATAAGCATAAAATAAGAAACGATCATCAGGTTTTCTGTATATTGATACTGAAAAATATCAGCTGCTAGTCACTACATGAAACTTCTTTGTCGAGTGAGCACAGCAAACGACTTAAAATAGGGTTATTGTGTCAAGCAGCCGATACCGTTACGATAAAAATCTGATAATCGATTAATCGGATTGTATTTGTGTGTTTAGAAAACCAAATGAAAATAATACTTTATAAATTTGGTGCATCTGAACTTTCCTGAATTAAACTTCTTCGTTGTCATATTTCTAATAAAGAGATGATTGATTCTATAATATTTACATCGCCTTTTTGCGATAAGGTGGCGTAAAAGCAACATTAATCAATCATGATTACATTTTGTCCCTATCATCTACAATCCAAACATTATTGGAACTTTTTCAAGAATTGGTTTAACAATCGACACTGCCTAAATATAGATTTGTTTGAATTAATCTCGAATTGGAATCTTATTGTTTATCTTTGCAATCTTATATGGTCGATGAAAGACTAACAAACTTGTGTCATACATAATAAGAAATCTGTTTCCCTGTAATAGACAATTTCTTTTAATTAAAGTTAATGATTTTTATAATAGTTTTTTACTACTATTTTATTTATAACAATAATTTTAATGTAGTTTCCAATTAACATAATTATGAAAAATATTTTAAACCCGTACCAACATGATATTGATATTACACGTAAAAAGCCTTCTGAAAGCTTGTTGCTTTGTTTGAAATTTCCTTTTGGTATTTTACTTGTTGAGGCAATGATACTCCGAAGTTTTATTTAGATTCGCAAGCGCCTTGTTAAATTATAGCTTACGGACAATACAATCATAATGTTTTAGAGTAGATATCTTGCCTTATATATTGACCGTATTCGGATTCTTACGGATTTTTTTTCTAGTTTTATTCGGAAAACAGTAACAATTTAATATGATCTCGATATATACTGCACATATGTGAATTATTACACAATTTCAAGATATTTGACACAATCTAAAGATCTTTATTTCAATACATCCCCGTGAAATATGACTGACAGACTTGCAGAATAATTTTATTGTTATGGTGTCCGTCCATATTGATGTTGTTTATTTTTTTATATTGTAACTAATTCTAGTATGAATAAATATAGTTTATATTTTACTTATTGTTTTATTATTGAAAAACAATGGATATGGACTAGTTGACACAACAATCTGAAGAAAACAAGAAAATGACAAGTATTTTTTAGGTTTTAATAAATAAACTGAAGAGATCAGTTCATTGGACCAAGACGTCTGGTAGTGTTGACTTAAATGATAGTTTGTATTTTCTCGCTGCGTTGGTGGCCTTGGACTGTTTTCTGTTCTTTGGTCGGGTTGTCTCTTTGACACATTCTCCGTTTCTAGTCTCTATTCTATGTAATATTTATGGATCGGTAGACAGTAAACATTCTAATTTATTTTGATAAAAGGAGGCTCAAGGATGTGATGGGTATACGTCAGAGCGACATGAAACCAACGACGATAAAAAGGAATAGTCAGGAGTTGGTTGACCGTTATGGGATATCCGTTTTACAGATTACAACGGATATGTTCCAATTGTCGCAACTACAATCCCGTCCCCTTTTCCCCGAATGTGACCTACCGAAGTAGCTTTATCACCGGGTTTGTACTAACATGAACAACATGTGCCACATGTGGAGTAGGATCTGCTTACCCTTCCGGAGCTCCTGAGATCACCACTAGTTTTTGGTGGGGTTCGTGTTGCTCAGTCTTTAGTTTTCTATGTTGTGTTTTATGTGATGTTGTTTGCCTGTTTGTCTTTTTTTTTTTTTTGTCATGGCGTTGTCAGTTTATTTTCGCCTCTCTTTTTCATATATAGTAATTATCATACGACCACAACAACAGATGCGTTTCTCTACAACATATCTAAATGACCGTTAGTCTTGCAAAATTCTGAACAAATTTAGCAAATTTGACAAAAAATATGCCACTTATACCAAATAAGATATAATAACTTGAGACAACAACCGCTAGCGAGGTTTCTCATTTTGAGCACACATGAATGTATGACTGGTTAAATAGAATTTAACCTCTCAAACAGAACTGTACAATACAGTACATATTCATGTGCTTGTCATAAGTCAGGACTCCTTGCTAGTGGTTTTCTTTTCTCACATTGTAAGGTTTGTTTGTCGCTTTGGGATTGTTTCGTTGGTGGCAGCTACATTTTGTATGTGATAGTCTCTGCAAACTGTATTTACTACTTTTCTAATTTTAGTTTTTTTTTATTAAATTGTTATGTTTTGGTTCTGAAATTTTTGTCTCATAGATGTTTATACCCGTATCTCTTTTTATTCAAAATCAACAGAGGTTCGAGTTAAACAATATTACCTTAGAATACATGGATCTAGATTGGCAAAATGAAGGGAGGTTTGTGCACGTAAAACGTGTATAACTCCACCACATCATGTGCCTGTCCTATACTAAGTCCGGGTATATTGACCATGTTTTGTTCGTTATTTGCCTCTGTTTTAATTAATCGGCATAGTGGGTTCTTGGTTGTTGTCTGTTGTATTGTCCAATATTTTTGTAATTTCCTTTAACACTTTTATGTACTACGATTAAACAGCTAGTGTCACTAGTAGGACGAGAATCGCTGACCCTTCCGGAGAAGACATTCACCATTGATATTTAATTTATTCTGTAATGCTCAATCTGTATGTTTCTGTGTAGTGTTTTGTGAACAGTTGTTTGTCTGTTTTTCTGGGTTTTTTTGTCTTTCGTTTCAAGATTTTGACTATTTTGTTTAAATTTTGGTTTAAGAGTACTGGTATCCCCCTTTTATATATTCGGACATACTGTAATCTTCTAAATAACACAAAAAAATACACATTACGTTAGGAACAACACCTTCTGGCGAGGCTTTTATAGAGCAGTACAACGGCCTAAATGCAACGAAAAAGAGGGACGAAAGATACCAAAGGGACATTTAAACTCATAAGTCGAAAATAAACTGACAACGTCATGGCTAAAAATAAACCAAAAGACATACAACAGTATACAAAACACAACATAGAAAAATATAGACTGGGCAACGCTAACCCCAACAAAAACCGGGGGTGATCTCAGGTGCTCCGGAAGAGTAAGCAGATCCTGTTCCACATGTGGAATTCGTCGTGGATACAGGAAACATTTCTCCTGGATAGGCAGTTGTATTAATTTACAAAAGTGGTCAAGGGCCTCTGCGTTGAATATAAGCCACCATAATCCAAGAATCAATTTAAACAAACACTTTCTATGAAAATATAACTTTATTTACAAAAAACTTCAATATCATTATATAAAATTATTGTCACAGATACACATTCATGCAATAAATTAACTCTCTTCAACCTAACGAGACAGACAAAGTAACAACAAAATAAAACAATCGGCTAACCTCGGATGACTCCGATCTCTCAGATGGAGGTACGGAATCGGCCGAGTTGTGACGATTGCAAAATTAAATACAATCAAACAAATACATCGATTATTGCTCTACACTTCTAACCGATCATAATCCAATTCTTTTATTTTTAAAATTCAACTTGATGCAAATAAGTAAAACATATATTGTTATGCTATGGATGGTATTTGCCATGAACTATTCATTCATTGAAGAGTCAAATACATCCAGGGCAAAAAGTGGTTGATATGTTAAAATGTCCAGGTTTGCAGAATCATATAAATTAAATATATCTAGACGTTTTAGAAATTTTGGGTAGTTGAATTTTTAGGATACTTTTGTTTAGAGACTATGCCATTAAGATACGGCATTCTTTTGTTTGAAGACTTTGAAAGTGAGATACTGCATACTACTCACTGTTTGAGACTATGACATAAGTGAAATGAAATACATGAATATATTTTGTTGAAAAATAATTTCTTGAATATTCAATGAGAAAACTATCATTAAACTAAACAAGGCTCAATTTTAAGGCAATAAACATCAAAACAAACTAAAATGGATTTCTAACTAGATCTACGCATTCGTCTTTTGGATGTTTGTCCTACATTTTGACATTAAAATATCATAATTCGAAAAAAAGGACATTTTTTTTATACATGTTCTCGATTTTTAAAGTCTGTACATGCTTAATCTAAATATAGCATTGTTTCTACCGAAAAACTTTAATTAATCACGCCACAAACGATCGACGTTTGACATTGTGCGCGGAAGTACAGCATTTATTTCAGAGAATTTGAAATGTATAATGATTTCAAGTTGTTTTCTTTCAGTTGCATTTGAATTGAGACAGCAGTATTTTATTTGAAAACATCATTTTTTAAGGGTCGTAAACTACCGTTCACTTGCTCTACTAACATTTCGCAAGTAAACTCAATTTGAAACCATTAAATCTGAAATTGATGAACGCAAAATATCAAATACAATAGTATTTTCCCTTATAAACTGTGATTAGCACCATTGTTCAAAATGTTAACAAAAAACCAAACTTAATAGGTTTGCAATCATTAAAAGAACACATAGTAATTATGTAGCACCAATTTCTGCGTAATGTATAATAGTTACAATGCATATAATAACAAATGAACGATTGTCTTGCAAAATATATGTTACCTAATCAAATATACGGAATGGAAACATGTTTTGAAATGGACTGTGTTTGAAATGTTTTTATCACAAGAAGCACTTTTATTTTCATTCCGTCAAATGCTTTTCACGTTCCATTTTTAACACATACTCCGTTGCTATTCTTTGTATATCCTGTGCAACATGTTTCTGAAATGAATGGATATGTTTCTTTCTCGTATCTACAATAGAAAAATATATGAATATAGTTCAATGCTTTTCAACTTCGTATTTGATTTGGCCGTCAAACTGTTTTGATTCGAGCGCCACAAATAAGTCTTATTTTGACGATTAAATTGAGAATGGACATGGGGAATGTGTCAAAGAGACATCAACCCGACCAAAGAGTAGAAAACAGGCCAAGGCCACCAATGGGTCTTCAACACAGCGAGAAAATCCCGCACCGCCTAAAACACGAATCTGGCGTAACAAATTATGAGCTATCTGTAATGCGTTTTTACAGTGACGTTTCACAGTGACGTTTCTCAACTATAATATACATTGTATATTTGTGTTTATTGGATTTGCTTTAGAGGATAGCTATTTAAGACGGATATGGTTTGAATTGCTGATTCATCATAGTGAAAAACACGTATGACATTAATGTCGAAGATTAAATAAATAATTCTAGTTTACACTGAGTACAAATTGCACAATATTTTAATATAACCAGCTTAAGATAATAAAATGCAACATGTTACCTTCCATACCTGACAGGATTTACTATCACATAAATATGCAAATACCTCGGAACAATCTATTATTTTCTTTATACAGCAGAACAGTTAAAATTATATACTTCATTAAACAGAACAAATAATATTATACACTTTATTTTCATAATGGAATGTATAATGGTCTGGATGGGGGTTCTTCATTTCTGTATTCTTTCATTTTTTTAGCTTTCTCTATTCTTTATACTTTTTGTTCATAATTCTCTATTCTTTATATTTTAACACCTCATTATTCTCTATTCTTTAATTTTTGGTCCATTTTCCATTATTCTTTATATTTTTGGCCCATCATTTTCTATTCTGTAAACCCCCATTCACACCCTTATGTGTACGGTGTATGGAATGCCATTAGAAAGATACTGATTGTTTTTTTGTTTAGATTTAAATGCCTATACGTTATTGAGAATGAAAGATTGACTTTATTTGGTTTTCACTATTAACATATTAAATTTCTTTTTCCCCATAATAATACTGTATGGGATAGAAAAGAAAAAGAGGATGTTTAACAACAAAAACACCTGGCAAACATCCTATTCAAAACTATAAAACTATAAAATTCAGAAATATACAGAATGTATACAGGAATCTGATGTTCAGTAGTTGTCGTTTGTTGATGTGGTTCATAAGTGTTTCTCGTTTCTCGTTTTTTATATAGATTAGACCGTTGGTTTTCCCGTTTGAATGGGTTTACTCTAGTAATTTTTGGGGCCCTTTATAGATTGCTGTTCGGTGTGAGCCAAGGCTCCGTGTTGAAGACCGTACTTTGACCTATAATGGTTTACTTTTATAAATTTTGACTTGGATGGAGAGTTGTCTCATTGGCACCCATACCACATCTTTTTATATCTATAGAAATTAAACAGAATAAAGATCAATAAATCATAGGACTGTTATTTATTTAAAATACAATTTAGAGTTATTGTTCTTTCGCTGTTGTAACACAACGAACGTTAATATAGGTATTCCAACTACATGTTCAACTTAAAACAAGATGGCCATGATGATGATGGATGGCTGTTTTACGTCCAGTGGCAAATTATATCCATATTCAGAACGGGAACATGAAAGTTTGATATGCATATCTTAAACCCTTCTTTGTACTAGACTGACACACTGAGCAGGAATTTTTAACGTGCCTGTTCACAGTATACACAGGAAGACATTTCATCCTCCTCGGACATATTATACTGACACCGAGCCGACCAGTCTTTGATCTTACTCCTAATGCCGCGTGCTTAGTAGAGAAGCAGGAAATACTAATTTTCAAGTCTTTTGATTGACTATGCCGGGGTTCGAACCAAAGACCTACCGCACTCGATTAAAAGGAAATAACAAAATGGTGTTTGTAAATTATAACTATCTACACCAAACAAACATAATGATTATATATCTTTATCAATTTCCCCCTTTACAGAGATTTTCAATCTCATAAAGGCATCATTTTGTGTAATTGATTTTTTAAATTTTTATATTGGATATCTTTTACAAAGAGCATAACAACTATTGTATTTAAACAAAACAATGTTAACCTTTTTAGGTCTGAGTTAAGGCGCTTTGTCTGACGAAGATTGCTTTTAAACCAAAAACCGGCGGAAAAATCTTCCGATTTTAAGATTTTTGTCGCTTCAACCCGATTCAAAATATTTTTTAACAAATATTAAACATTGCTATAACATTGTTCAACATGTATTATGAAGGATGCTTCTTTTTGAAAGTAACATGGGAAAACTATCAAAATATACTATACTATACTAAAATGTAAAATAGCAAAAATACCGAACTCCAAGGAAAATTCAAAACGGAAAGTCCTTCATTAAATGGCAAAATCAAAAGCTCAAAAACATCAAACGAATGAAAAACAACTGCCATATTCCTGACTTGGTACAGGCATTTCCTTATGTAGAAATTGGAGGATTAAACCTAGTTTTATAGCTAGCAAAACTCTCACTTATATGACAGTCGCATAGAATTCAGAGACACACACACCGGAAACTAACTTTTAAACAGTTTTCTAATGAAGTGTCTAGTCAATACTTACACTGTACATTTTTGTAACGTAATAGGATTACACACGACAACTTTTGATATGGTTCTGGTTCCAAATTTGACTTGAGTACATGGATTTGTATTACAGCTTCTGGTTTCTACTTCTATTGATTTTCCACTGAAATTCATAAAAAAAATGAATCTGTCAATGTCGGTAATTAGTTTAAATGTTTAAACATATTCATAAAAAGTATTGGAGAAACTATAAAGTTTGTTTATACCGAACCTTATTATTTATATTAAGTGTTCATCAAAGATTTAGCTGACACAACCCCTCACATCCAAACTAGAAACAACCTTTAGAAACCAAAGTAATTTATCCCGTTTTCTATGTCCGATGCGCAGTTCTTCGCAAGCATTAATCAGGAAACATAGAACACGATGCTGCGGTAGTCAATAAGGGATTAATAAACTTCTCCTCCATATCTGGTTGACCATACATTGGTAGTTCAAGATTAATACAAAGACTAACGTTTTGACAATACTCCTATTTGAATGAAGCAAGCTGTAGAAAAATCGGAATTTTATTGTGGCACTAAACACTTAATGAAACAAAAGTAGAATATATCAAACCAGTTATTGGTTCATGAAAAGTAATAAAATGATGGAGTCGTTTGAAATTGTAAGATCCGTTTGCAGTACAACATACAAATCATTGCCTTCATTTTTTATTCAACTTACCTGCATAAAAGCGGGTCGTAACAAAGTCGTTGGCGAGTTTGATTTCCGCATCCACCACATGCAGTGGTACAATTTGACCACGTGGTCCAGTTTCCCCATCCTGATGATGGGTCGTTCTCTTTATCCTTAGAAGGATCGTGTGTAGGTACTATGTATTCCGTTGATGAAACACCGGGCTGGATAACTATACTTATATTTGCTACTGACGATGATTCTAAAAATAATAAAAGTTTGTTCCTCCACATTATATCATTTAACTTTAAGGCGATTTTATTTCTATCTTTGTATGTATTTGCACATGGCAAGATCCAAGTTTGACATATTCGCTACGACCAGAGACATGCACAGTACCCATATATTAATAATAGATGTTTCTGCTACAATATATCATATTTGCGTCATTTTTTACTCAGGAAGTCGTGTAAATAAATCGAAATAAGGTTGGTTAATTTACAGTATTTCTAAATATTTCCTCGGGGCCTTTGCTTTTTCATTTGAAAAACACAATGCAATTGTCTCTTAAACTTTTTTATAGTTTATTTTGTATGTTGAAATTAAAGAATGATACAAAATCACTTCCGACAATTTCATCATATAAAATTATATATATTTAATACTTACTGATACAATCTGTTCCATTTATTTCATAGCCTTTACAGCAAAATAGTTCAGACCTAGAGCAAAGTCCAGACCTCACTGCTGTTTTGTTCCTGAAATATTAGAAGAAAACTTTATATTTACCCCTTTCACTTAATTGTGATAAAATATAGTTCTCAGATTTAAACCGGCAGTGATTTAGCATTTGATTTCGTTTAAACTCTATTAAACAGAGATTAATTTATCGATTTCTTCATTAATAGATAAAAGGTTAAAATGAAAAATCAGTAGAACGTTTTTCCTGAGTTATGACAATCAAACTTTAGTTATTACAATACAATTTGTAGGCAGCACATGCAATTACTGTTTTGCTGAAATATACTGCTATAATATTGATTTTTCTAAATTACACAAGTTTGTTGCAATATTTATTATCTGCCCACCACCAGTTCCCACTTGTACAGAATATACTTCTATAATATTGATTGTTCTAACTACACAAGTTTGTTGCAATCTTTATTATCTGCCCACCACCAGTTCCCACTTGTACAGAATATACTTCTATAATATTGATTGTTCTAACTACACAAGTTTGTTGCAATCTTTATTATCTGCCCACCACCAGTTCCCACTTGTACAGAATATACTTCTATAATATTGATTGTTCTAACTACACAAGTTTGTTGCAATCTTTATTATCTGCCCACCACCAGTTCCCACTTGTACAGAATATACTTCTATAATATTGATTGTTCTAACTACACAAGTTTGTTGCAATCTTTATTAACTGCCCACCACCAGTTCCCACTGACAGAATATACTCCTATAATATTGATTGTTCTAACTTACACAAGTTTGTTGCAATCTTTATTATCTGCCCACCACCAGTTCCCACTTGGACAGGGGTTCCATTCTGTATAATTCCACTGACGTTCACACACGTAAGGCACATTCCTAGAGCATGGCCGATGACTTAATTCTGTCCCCGTAACACAGCCTCCACATGGTTCTGAAAGGTCGGTTATTATTGATATTATTGATATTATTGATACTATTGATATTATTGATACTATTGATAGTATTGATACTATTGATATTACTCACATATATTAATTAGGTTATTACGTTAAGATGTTTAAGTTTTCTGAAATTTTTCTCGGCTATGTTTTTTTTTATTGAGGTACTCTTGCTTTTTTATGTTCATTGAAAAGGTGTAATCGCAAATATTAACACCAATTCCATTTGTATTTTTCCCAAATTCAATGCTATGCAATTGTTTTCTATTTAACTAAATACATTTGTTAGTCTCATAGAATTTTGTTATTTGTGAATAGAAAAAAAAATGAGACTAAAATGTTTTTTATGTCGATATTAGTACTTGTTGTTCTGACATTAAAATTAACCACATTTTATATTTCATTTTTTCTGAAATATCTAAACAGGTTCTTATTGAAATCAGTGTCATTGAATTTATAAAGATTTCATAACGGACTGCTTTAACCCTTTACTGTACTTCTTATTGTCAGTTTTTATAATGTATTGTTGTTGTTGTTGATGCTGTGTTCATAATTTTTAGTTTCTTATCTAGTGTATCTAATGTAAGAAATGTTGTATTAGAAGATATTATCTCTAAAGAGAAAAAATGTTTACTTTTTGTCATTAAAATGCTATATAAACAGTTCTAAAAGTAAATACCTGCCCATATTTTAGCCTGAAATCCGTACGATCCTGCTCCATTTGCCCGTAAAAGCACAAGCATCTCGTTGCCTTCCGAAATAATAGGTTTAGTAGATTCTAAATAGGAACAGCAAATTCTGAAATTCCAAAAAAATAGTTAATTTTAAAAAGCTTTTTCTGTATATCTAACAGTCTTGATGGGTGTCATATGTGGAGCAGGATCTACTTACCCGTTCGGAGTACCTAAGATCACTCCCATGTTTTGGTGGGGTTCGTGTGGCTCAGTCTTTGGTTTTCTATATTGTGTGTTGTGTACACTGTTGTTTGTCTGTTTGTCTTTTTTAAGCCATAGCATTGTTTTCGACTTATGAGTTTGACTGTCCCGTTGGTATCTTTCGCTTCTCTTTTTACAGCAGAATGCATTGAGTGTGTAGGTAAAGGTAGAATCTTTGGTTAGCTTGATTGTTAGCTGAACCGTGAAGTTATTATTAGGTTAGGTATACTACCTTCCTTTTGGAGTAGTATAGTCCTACAGACAGATATATTGTTGATCGGTCGGACTAGTCTACTCTTAAAGGAGGGTAGTTTACCTAACATAATAATGATTTCACGTTTCAGCTAACAAGCAAGCTAACCAAAGATATCACCCAAACCTACACACCCAATGCATTCTGCTGTAAAACAACATTGAAGACAATAATTGTGTTAGTCCCTTGCATTCTTCATAAATTCAGTCAATCCAAACATTTTCAATTGCTTCTTCTATTTTTTTTTATTTTACTACAAAAAAACTATCATCAAGTGATCCAATCTAATTGTTGATAAACATAGTACCTTCAAAATCTCACTTTACAGCATTGGGGTTTGGCTTTCGTAAAAATTTGTAAAAAAAAAGACTATTAAATTCTATAGCAGAAGATTAAAGTTTGATGATGCACTAGTTCTTACTCCGTATTGAAGTCCAGAACTTTTAATTGTTTTAGTTCTTTATTATTATCTTGCATTTTAAGACTGTTGATTGTTACTTTAATCTTTACTTAATATCATATTACTGTAAATTCAGAAATTATTTCGATGTTTAATTTTTATTATGATTGCGAAAATTGCTATTGGATATGTTTCGCAAAATTAAAAACTCACATTCGTTAAAAATTTTGATAGCATAATCGTATCCAGCATTTTCTGACATCGCAGTAATTAATCGTTCATCAATGCACACAATAATTTCTGAAGGTACGGTATTCCAATAAACTAGGTGTGGATGGGGTTTACAGAATAGAGAATAATGGGCAAAACATATAAAGAATAGAGAAAAATGGACCAAAAAATTAAAGAATAGAGAAAATAGAAGTACTAATATATAAAAAATAGAGAATAATGGACAAGAGATATAAAGAATAGAGAAAAATTGATTGTCTAAAAATTAAAGAATAGAGACTAAAAGAGGTTCTTAAAATAAAGAATAGAGAATAACGACCAAATATTATAAAGAATAGAGGAAAATTGTATAAAAAATTAAAGAAGACAGAAATGAAGGACCCCCATCCAGACTCTCATATACCATATTCTTACCGTGCACCTGTTGTAGCAATGTTGTGAGAATATCTAACTTCCAGGTAGTTCAGGCACTCAACATATTTATTATTGGTATCACTCACACACTGTGGATATTCCATGATACGAGGCGGCGTTATCGTGAAAAATACTCGGGAATTTTTAGGTGCCTGCAGAATAAAATTGTTGAATTTTATAATTTTTTTTTGGGTATTTATTTGTCGATCATGTCTATATATTTAAGCGAAAGAAAAATGAAACAAAGTTTTGTTAATTTATTTAATTGGACTGAGTGAGAAAAATGAAAAAGCTAGTAGTTTAAAATTGGGATATTGTTTACTTTTTAAACTATCAAAATGAACACTTCATTATAATAGTTACAAAAATCTTTTCTCACAAACTTTGTCATACTTTATCTATATCAATTACCTAGATGCATAATGCGGAAAAGAAGCAGTCATTCCTATATATGATTAAGAAGACATAAGTTCAAAGAATGTATGTGAAAATTATGTCTGAAAAAAGCCAATCGTTTTTAGAAACATATGACTTTAATACGTGACATAAATTGCGAATACGAAGCAGTCATTGCTATATATGATTAAAAAGACATAAGTTCAAGAAATGTATGTGAAAATTAAGTCTGAAAAAGCAAATCGTTTATTAAAACAAGTTATGATTTTAATTTAATGACATACAAGGCATAAAGATTCTTGTCAAATTCACAATTCTACGTACTTTTATGACATAAAGTATTCTTCTTCATAACAATGCAGAATATCTAAAACAAAATTATATCACTTATAGACCTCTTCTTATTGACTTATTATTTGGTCAAAAATTGAGGCGACAGTAGTTTACCGATGTTCAGATGCCAAAAATAGACCAGGAAGAAAGAAGCTGAGGTAACAAGCAGAGACTGATGGAATCGCATGAATTCCAAAAAGAGCGTGACGGGATGCTTCGACAGGGTAATAGTCTCCTGCTATGCATGAACCACCCGCCATGCAAATTCACATTCAGTAAAAATGTCAATACGCAACCTTTAACGGTATATTTTGTTTCTCAAAATAGCAAAAAGAAACGAGTGGGGATGACGTACCTTTATATACCAGTTACACTGTTGTCCAAAACGGTAGGATGTGGGAAATCCAATCGGTTCTGGTGCACCAGCTAGATTTATAACTCCACCACAAGTATCTGAAAGTGAAAATAATAATTTGTTAACTTAGGCCGTCCGAAGCGCTTTTCTGGAATTTTATCCAATCAGGAACGCTCAAACATAAACTTGAGGCATCCGAAGTGCTTTTCTGGAATTTTATCCAATCAGTAATAATATGAAAATGTTTTGTCGTTAAATATATATATATATATATATATAAGTAAAAAATCATTGATATGGTAAAGCATGCGGAAGAATATCTCAAGAACATTTTGCGACAATCCCGGCAAGGACCGGTAACTCTGCATGGAAGATTGTTTTTGCGGGAAAATATGAATGCCTTTTCATATCCAATCTTTTAGAAAAATAGAATTTTTACAGAAGAGTGTCCACCATGCACTTGCACTGCACTCTTATTAGAATAGTAGAATAGAATGATATACAAATGGATGAAAGTTATATATAAATGTTACTGTTATATTAACATAATATATAACAATAAACCAGTGTATACTGATTTGTTTCACTACAATATAATAGTTATTACGGTGAGGTTGACTTTCCTGTCATTTATTCATCATCCACGCACGAACTTGTCTCAGAAAAAAATATCTCTGTACATTAACCTCAGTTTCAGGTATAGAGATGTGATTTTTTTCTGTGACAAGTGCTTTTGACAATCCACAAGAACTTGCGGTCATCCGATGTTCAGTACTTCAGTACTTTTAATTAATCTATCAACGGGGAGTTTTAGAAAAAATATGTTAAACTGACTACTGAGCTAATGATACCCTCGGGGACTAGGAAATGAAAATAACTCTAGGTAAACTTCGTTCGTCCGATGACTTTCTGTATTTACCTTCATTAGACACGCTCAAACCTAAACACTAAATTATTGAAGAAAGTAGTAAATCTCCTCAATTTCAGAAGTAGAATCAGTGATAAGTGATACAGTGTCAGTCAAAGTAGTTATTTTGCAATTTATGAGTGCTTTTAGAAGAAAATAGCAAACTAACCTCCGACAGATGGCGCAGCTGTTTCACAATAATTTCCGCCTAGCCCTTCCGTGCAGCGACATCTAGAACATAACTTGGGATCTTGGTAGCCATCATGTTGACATGGTTGTGCCAATTTTGTATTGTTACATTTATCTGAAATATAAATAGAAAATAATCCATATTCTATAGGTAGCTCAATAAGTACAAATATAACATCACTGGTACAAACTGGAAAACAACAAACCTTTGTGATAAATGTTACCAAAATTGCTTAATTAAATATCACACAATTTGTTTATCCATTATATCCCTTTTAAAATCAATTAGTAATATTTGGTTTAGAAAGTTCCAGTTATTTCAATAATAATTTTCTCTTATCAATAAAAAAATGAAAATAATACATTATAAATGTTTTTTTGCGAATAAAGATAAAGATATTTAACTTTGTTCCGCTTGGAGCGCTTTTCGGATTAACCCTTCATTACGAACGCTCATGCCAAATTTTAGGATATAACTAATTTTGAGGAATCATTAATTTGTATGCTTGCAAATGAATAACTATAATTAGATTGTGTAATACAGAATAAATTTAACTTACCGGCACAGTAGGCAACGTTTGCTAATTTTACATCATAAAACGAGAGTTGAAATCTTTGTCCGAGCGCTCGTTGTAACAATGGATCTTTAGTAATTATTGTTGGTGGTACTGGGGTCTGATTGTCAACAGCGTACGCCTACAATGTTACAGTTTATCATTAGGGAGCTACCATTTGATTTTTATGGGGGCTAGGATGAAATTTAAAAAAAATAGGCAGGACAGGAGTTTTGAGTAAAAAAAAAGGCAGGATGAGACACTTGCAAAAAAAAAAAGTCAGGATGACAATTTAGGTAAAAAACGGTCAGGATAAACTTTAAAAAAGAAGGCAGGACCGAATAGAGTCGAAAATAAAAAGGCAGGACAGAGATTACAACTAAAAAAAAATGCAGGACAAAATTTTTCATCCTAGCCCCCCCATAAAAATCAAATGGTAGCTCCCTTAGTTAATAATAATTCTATTTTATTTGAGTGCCACACATTGATTGCTGGAATACATATACTTAAATAAAAAGTAATATCTTTAAAATGCAACCAATGCCCAGCCAAACAATTGACTTTAATATGAGACACTTTAAAAACATACATGTACATATATACAATAAACTGCATGTTATTTTGCAAAATATTACATAATATATATATATTTATATTGAAAAGTTATAAATTTTGTCCCCGCTGTGCATAAAATATGAAAAAATAAGGCTGAAAATGCGCTATATATATATATATTTACCAATTTCAGCACTAAGTTACACTGAACCGGTCTTTTAGATCTGAAGACTGTTCAATAATGCAAGGCTAACAGCAGATTACCGATGTTTAAACTCATAAATCGATTAAGAAGACAAATCAATGCAATAAACAAAAAATGAGAAATGGCATGAACTCAAAAAGGAGCGTGGCTGGGTGCGATGACAGAGTCAGCGTCTCCTGTAATTCACAAGTAACCCATATTCAGTCTTTCATACTTATCTACTGTGGTAAGTTCAGTACTGTTCAGTCAATTCACTTGCAGTCAATCAAACTTTGTCAGATTATTCAGCAACTATTATTTACCTGTTTAAAAACATTAACATATTGACGTGTCTGAAAAGGTTGAACAGTGCTGAATTGACTGCAAGCGAATTATCTGAACAGTACTGAATTTACAAGAAGAAAATATCGGAAAATTACTTAACAAGTCTTGAAGTATTTATGTTCCGACTTTTCAGATGATGTAAAGATGAAAACAAATTGCCATTTTCAGACTAAAACTTGTGTACCTCTGAAAACTTTACGGAACCAAAACCAATTGACAGATATGTCATGTAGTATATACTGTTACTTACTCTTGAACCATAATGCATTATCGATCCAACATCATAAGGCATATCTTTGTTGTCTAGATCCTTCCAAGAAATATGTAAAAAGTTGTATTGTTTTCCATATTGAATAGAATTCTGTTGTACTTGTATATGTTCCTCCCTGTCAGGTCGTGCATGCTCATGCCAAAACCCTATCACGTGACCAATTTCGTGTAGAACATGACCTTCCTAAAATTTTATAAATTTTAAGTTATGACATGCGCTTATACGGTATATGCCATGATTATGGTAAATGTATTTAATATGTTTTCTGACCAACAACGCTATCAAAAGAATCTCCGGAAGATATTCCTTATATCGTTATTAAATTTGATAAAAAAATGGCTGGGAGAAATTCGATTCAAGTATTTGAAGATGGTATTATATATTTCAAAATTACTAACGTAATGACATGTATTTACTTATCCCTGGCAAATAATTGATATATGGTTTATAGAGTTAAACTGGTAGGTATCAGAAGTGTGTTTTGTGGAAGCGATATTGTCAAATGCTTTCATGTATATGTATACTGCTACATGGTACCCAAACACATTTATAACATGACTTTTAAACCTGCTTTCCTCATAATTATTCTAACATATATTAATATATATATATACATATATATTAATTTGTAGGATCCTTTACAATAGATATTTCAGCTGATCTGTAAAATACCATCTTCATGCATTATATATCATGTACTGTATTACGACGCTAGATAAAAACTGACGAGGAAAGGTAACACCCGGCCACCCAAAGCTTTATTATTGTGAAACCTAGGTGGTCGAGTGGTCTAGCGCGTTGGATACAGTGCAGGCGATTTGGTGTCACGATATCTCAGTAGCATGAGTTCGAATCCCGGCGAGGGAAGAACACAAAATTTGCGAAAGCAAATTCACAGATCTAACATTGTTGGGCTGATGTTTAGACGAGTTGTATATATATATATAATTAAGACGTTGTTAATATCAACTGATGCTATTCACATTTATTCCTTTTTCTATTAAATTTAGTTATAAATAGATATTGTGACGAATTCTTTTCGTTGTGATGCACGTTTCATTATGACCCACAGAAATGAATTAAAAGCTTATAGTTTGACCTATTTTTCATAATTTAGAAAAATGTCACTTACATATATACAGTCTTCAAAAATGGAAACTTTTTGCTCTCTATACGTACTTCTTCCAACAAATGACCAGCATCTGAAATTGGGCAGTAGATTAAAGAGACTTTAATTTGGATGAAGAAACCTACTTAATAGACTAGGATTGCCAGTTTTCCTTACGAATTTTGGTACTCCAGCTTCAACCACCAGTAAAAATTGGCCGCCATGTGTGCTGAATGTGGTGTTAAACACCAACCATCAATCCATCACTTCTTATGTAGAATGTATATATATATATATATATATGTCAGGACCTTGAAGTTTAGTGGTTGTCGTTGGTTCATGTCTGTCATACTTGTTTTTCGTAAATTGTTTTGTTATAAATTAGGCCGTAAGTTTTCTCAATTGAATTGTTTCATATTTTTCTCATTGACAACCATACCACATCTCCTTATTTTTATATAGTCTTCTTTTCAAACGTAATATATTTTTTATGATGTTTGTGTGTATATCTCTACTGAAAAGTGTCAATGATAAAGTAATAACAACTAAGTTTAATATTGATATTCCCGAAGACTAGCAGTTCGTGGTCAAATTGACCCAAGACCTGTGATAGAAATTAAAAAATAAAGAGAGATAAACAAATATATACTGTGTTTAATGATAATACATTTCTGCACAATGTAAAATAGCATTATGATCCGGAAAAATAAACGATAAAATTGTTTGTCGAAATTGTATACCCAATAAACACACACAGTTCCGTGTCTTTTTGGTTTTGTTCAGTAGTGAATAAAATTTATACCCATGGGTATATCCCTTTTTTCCCCAATCTCAAATAATCAATATAACATTATTTTTTGTGACAACTATGAAAAAGGTAAAACTTTACAATGTAACTGTTTAAAAATCTACATATATCACAAGTCGTTATATTTACCATATAAATAATTAGTGCAAAAAATGTTCTCAATAATGGATAACACCTACAGGCAAAATGTCTATAATTATATATTCGACATAACGAGACAAATGTCGAATTTAATTGCAAATGAATCGACAAATTTACTTTCGTGATTTTTTTTTACGAATTACATGTTTGTAAACAATATTTTGCTTTGTTTTAACTTTTTTTTATGTCTCGCCTGCAAAGAATGTCGCGGAAGGCAAACCATTGATAATACCTGACGCTTTAAAGAACGCAATCAGCATCGTCGTCATCACCTGTTTTTTTTTTTCATTACAAAAGTTTGTTATTTTACAAATAGGTCAATGCTATTCCATACACTATATGACTCCAAAATCTATCCATCTCAATTGCAAGAAATGTATTAGTCATTGATGCTTCAGTGAGTTAGGAATGTTTATTTTATTCAATTTGATTAAAAAATTTCTAACACAAAATATGGTTTGATTTTGAAAAGAGTGCTTGTAGTATTCGTTGGCATTTAATACCTAAAAAGGAGTTTTTAATTTCGAAGAAGGGAGATAACTCTTACTTGCTACTTTGTTTACGATTTTGTTTTGAAAAAAACACTTAATGTTTATATTAGTTACCAGGGCGAATGGCACGTAAAATCAACTCATTATTACATGTATAAGAATTCAATATCATTAATTTTAATGTAGTAACATCAACGTATTTTGTTTTTTTTTTGTTTTTTTTTTTGTTTTTTTTTTTTTAATGAAAAGGAAAAAAACTGCTGGTATTAAATGATTCATCCAAAAAGTTTAAATACATACAACTCATATAAATGAGTGAACTTGAAGTCGGTCAATACTCACCCTTCATTGCTTGTGAATACAATGTAAACTTTGTTTTCATTCACACTGGAGTTGTCTTTATATGTTATTTCTTCGAACGTAATACATGTATAACTCTCCCAGTAATTTAAAGCACGTCGTATAATACTTTTCTCAGACTCATCTAAAATCCAGAAAAAAATATATGTTTAAAATATTGTCTTGAAAAATGAAATTCATTTTTTGGAAATATATTCTGTTAGCAGGTAGCGGCATTTAATGTGAAAAGATCTGTGGGTTCACTTAGTTTACAATATATACTGTTTAGCTTAAAGTGTGACTGTCTTACAATTCTTTTATTTTTTTTCGAATTCTTTTACGAATATAAATGGGATATTGTGCATACGCCTACTTAAACAGCAGCTTTAAAACAAAACTCGACATCACAGCTGGAGGTACACGTATATTTCAAATTCATTACAAACTATGAATTACTAAGTATGTGGTCTATCGATTGTATATTGTAATTGTCCTGTTACTTGTCACAATATCCATAATATTGTAATTTGTATAGGTCCTGTACCTGCTACTTACTGAGATCAATTAAATGCATTCTGTATAGGTAGCTGTTACTAAATACTATGAACCTCAAATGCATTCTGTATAGGCACCCGCTACTTACTGGGATCAATTAAATGCATACTGTATAGGTAGTTGTTACTTACCGAGATCCAATAAATGCATTTTGTATAGGTAGCTGTTACTTAATACTAAAAACCTCAAATGCATTTTGTATAGCTAGCTGTAACTTACTGATATCCATTACAGTCTGTATAGGCAGCTGTAGCGTTACTTAATTTTTTGCGATCAATAAAATGCGTACTGTTTAGTTTGATGCTACATTCTATGTGATACAAAAGGGTCTGGATGGGGGTCCTTCATTTTTGTATTCTTTAATTCTTTTAGGGCATTTTTCTCTATTCTTTATAACTTTTGCCCATTATTCCCCATTCTTTATATTTAAGCACCTCATTATTCTCTATTCTTTATGTTTTTGGTCCATTTTTCTTTATTCTTTATATTTTTTGCCCATTATTCTCTATTCTGTAAACCTCCATCCACACCCTCATACATCTAATGCGTGATTTATAGGATCTTACAGTCAGACCAATCAAATGCATTCTGTATAGGTTCCTCTTCCTTACTATGAGATTCATTGTATATATATATATGTATAGAGTATAAGTTTTTAGTTACAATGCTACACATCAATTGCGCTCTGTATCGGTAAACTATTTTTAGATCCTTTAATTGCATACTGTATAGTTAAAACAATTGTTTCTAACTGTGCAATTAAACGCAACCTAACTGAGAGATCTATCAATTATATTCAGTATAGTTAGCTGTTACTTGTGAGCTCAATGGAATGCATACTGTACAGGTAGCTGTTACTTGTGAGCTCAATTGAATGCATACTGTATAGGTAGCTGTTACTTACTATTAGATCCCTAAAATGTATACTGTACAGGTTGTTGTTACTTACTATGATATCCCTCAAATGCATACTGTACAGGTTGTTGTTACTTACTATGAGATCCGTCAAATGCATACTGTATAGGTAGCTGTTACTTACTATGAGATTCTCAAATGCATACTGTACAGGTTGTTGTTACTTACTATGAGATCCGTCAAATGCATACTGTATAGGTAGCTGTTACTTACTATGAGATCCCTCAAATGCATACTTTACAGGTTGCTGTTCCTTACTATGAGATCCCTCAAATGCATACTGTATAGGTAGCTGTTACTAACTATGAGATCCCTCAAATGCATATTTTACAGGTTGCTGTTACTTACTATGAGATCCCTCAAATGCATACTGTATAGGTAGCTGTTACTTACTATGAGATCCCTCAAATGCATACTGTATAGGTAGCTGTTACTTACTATGAGATCCCTCAAATGCATACTTTACAGGTTGCTGTTACTTACTATGAGATCCCTCAAATGCATACTGTACAGGTTGTTGTTACTTACTATGAGATCCCTCAAATGCATACTTTACAGGTTGCTGTTACTAACTATGAGATCCCTCAAATGCATACTGTATAGGTAGCTGTTACTTACTATGAGATCCCTCAAATGCATACTGTACAGGTTGTTGTTACTAACTATGAGATCCCTCAAATGCATACTGTATAGGTAGCTGTTACTTACTATGAGATCCCTCAAATGCATACTGTACAGGTTGTTGTTACTTACTATGAGATCCCTCAAATGCATACTTTACAGGTTGCTGTTACTTACTATGAGATCCCTCAAATGCATACTTTACAGGTTGCTGTTACTTACTATGAGATCTCTCAAATGCATACTGTATAGGTAGCTGTTACTAACTATGAGATCCCTCAAATGCATACTTTACAGGTTGCTGTTACTTACTATGAGATCCCTCAAATGCATACTTTACAGGTTGCTGTTACTTACTATGAGATCTCTCAAATGCATACTGTATAGGTAGCTGTTACTAACTATGAGATCCCTCAAATGCATACTTTACAGGTTGCTGTTACTAACTATGAGATCCCTCAAATGCATACTTTACAGGTTGCTGTTACTTACTATGAGATCCCTCAAATGTATACTTTACAGGTTGTTGTTACTTACTATGAGATCTCTCAAATGCATACTGTATAGGTAGCTGTTACTAACTATGAGATCCCTCAAATGCATACTTTACAGGTTGCTGTTACTAACTATGAGATCCCTCAAATGCATACTTTACAGGTTGCTGTTACTTACTATGAGATCCCTCAAATGCATACTGTATAGGTAGCTGTTACTTACTATGAGATCCCTCAAATGCATACTTTACAGGTTGCTGTTACTTACTATGAGATCCCTCAAATGCATACTTTACAGGTTGCTGTTACTTACTATGAGATCCCTCAAATGCATACTTTACAGGTTGCTGTTACTTACTATGAGATCCCTCAAATGCATACTGTATAGGTAGCTGTTACTAACTATGAGATCCCTCAAATGCATACTTTACAGGTTGCTGTTACTTACTATGAGATCCCTCAAATGCATACTTTACAGGTTGCTGTTACTTACTATGAGATCCCTCAAATGCATACTTTACAGGTTGCTGTTACTTCAGTGTTCCCGCCTGCCCTAAATAGAAGGGCGGCCCGCCCTTGATGCCCTTACCCCCGCCCTTCTGCCCTCCAAAGTAAAAGAATGCACCCCTCTGCCTTTTCAAAAAAATAAAATTTCCAAATTTCATGCCTACCGGCGTTTCCGGTAAATTGTTACCTGATTGTGTAACACTAATTAACTGACAATGGGATTAAGTTAAATACCTAATGCTTTGGCAGTTTTATCACCTTTGTTAATGATTGTTTACTGCTAATTAGTGGATTTAAGATAATTGAACAAATACTAGATATTTAATACAGAATGAAATGTCCACATGTTATCCATTTGTAATGTTTATGTACAGCATGTACACCTGAAAAAATTTATTTCAGTAGGCATAACATAAAAAATAAAATCTTAAACAATTTTAAAGGCATGTATACATAGTTTTGACTTAATTGGTAAAAAATGTTTTGTTTCATAACCATGAGTATGAAATTTAAAGAAGAACCAAAGAAATTTGTACTTTGAACATAACAAGATTCACTTCCTGTTTTACTTCTTGTATTTTATAATCCTCCTGACATAGGAGCACTCAACAAATTTATTTTTAACAATGATGGAGAAAAAAGTAACTGTTTATACCTTCTGCAATATATTATTGCATCAATATAATATGATCATCTCCTGTCTCACCTGTTATATTTATAAAACTCCTTACCGAGGAGCACTTTGGTGTGCACTTAAAAATACTTTTTTGTAACAATTCAAATGATAATAAATAACTCTCAATAACATATATACTATATGTTTGAACAAGTAATTTAAATGTAGATAATTTAATTACATTAAACATTCAATTTTGCATGTATAACTCCATCTTTCAAAACTACTTGTTTATTTTTATAGACTGGTATAAGTTATAAAACATTGAAATTTCTGATGATTATTTTCCTTATCAAATGTACAAGTTTGTTTAGATTAACATCAAAATGATATGCTTTGCTTCATGGTATGATAATTTGATAAAAGAAAATTCTTATGGGAACCAACATCAAGAACACATTAATTTCTGAATATGGTTTAAATACAACTAATGTTCGACAGCTGAGCCTAGCAATATTCAAGGTAATTTATACACTGTCCAACATTGCCCTTAAAATCAGGGTTATAACGCTAAAGTGCCCTTTCAGACAACTAGCACCCTTCTGCCCTGAGATTCAAGCTGGAACACTGTACTTACTATGAGATCCCTCAAATGCATACTGTATAGGTAGCTGTTACTAACTATGAGATCCCTCAAATGCATACTTTACAGGTTGCTGTTACTTACTATGAGATCCCTCAAATGCATACTGTATAGGTAGCTGTTACTTACTATGAGATCCCTCAAATGCATACTGTATAGGTTGTTGCTACTTACTATGAGATCCCTCAAATGCATACTTTACAGGTTGCTGTTACTTACTATGAGATCCCTCAAATGCATACTGTATAGGTTGTTGCTACTTACTATGAGATCCCTCAAATGCATACTTTACAGGTTGCTGTTACTTACTGTGAGATCCCTCAAATGCATACTGTATAGGTTGTTGCTACTTACTATGAGATCCGTCAAATGCATACTGTATAGGTAGCTGCCAATGTCGCTGTAAATCTGTATTTAACTTTCGTTTTTGTCGAGGATTTCTACTTTCATAAATAATTTGAGCCTGTTTAGGAGTCAAAATTATGTCTTCTTCAAAAACATATGGAACTGTATTATCTGTTGTGGATTTCGTCTAAAAGAGAAAAAAAAATTTGTAATATTTTTTATATTTATTCAACATTCTAAAGGGCAAACTTGCGATCTGGCGCCTCATTTAAAAGGACCTGTGACCTTTACAAATATTAAAAAACGAGAATCTGATCAGTTCAGAACTGTTATTTTGCTTCAAAGTGACCTAGTGACCTGAGGCTATTTCTATACATGACCTTGTGACCTAAGCGGTGTATCCTACTGGAACCCTAACTTGGACACAGTTGTCTCTAAATAGTAGTTACTATGTATTCTTTCTTATTCGTCCTGAATATGCATGTAGTATTTGCCACAGGAAGTTAAGCAAACTACATAAAATCATCTTTTCTTGTAAATATTTTCCAGGCTTACAGAATGCAACCAGTTTTTTTTTATAAAATGTATAGAGGAAAATATTTGAAACGATATAATAACTTCCGGAGATGCAGGAACGTCAAACAGAAGATCATAGAATTGATTCTACATTTTATAACAATCTAATTAGCAATTCAAATATTTACTAAAATAATGGGAGTTGCAATTGCGTAGACAAAAATGCTTTGTTGTGGGTTTCAAAATATGATGCATCACCTTCAAAGAAAATTTTTATTTTGTTGTGTAAATATTGTATTTCCGGGTTCTTAAGTATTGACGAATATGAAATTACGCAAGAAGTAAGGAATGATCATACCTATCTATAAAGATAAAGATTGCCCTAGGTATAGAGATCAAGATTGCCCTAGGTATAGAGATAAAGATTGCTTCATCTGTTATTTTCCCCAATTATCTTCCTCTGCATTTTACGCATACAAGCACTCATGCATTTATCAAAGATTCGAATCATCCCGTAAAATTATATTGTACATCGCATCGTCGAGCGATTAATCAAGGCATACCACAATCACAAAGGAATACACCAGCGGGTTGTTTTGCATGTGGTTAATTGAGAAATTGCGCCATACCCAGTTCATCTTTTTTTGTAGTAAAGTCCAAAATTAAATAAAGTGGGCGATTCCAATCATTATTTATCTTATCAAGCCCTTTAATAATAACTTCTTATTTTAGTACATCATATATAAACAATAATAAATCTAGATATAATTCAATTTTTCACGTAAACTTACAACACTCGGCAATGTTAAGCACCATTCAGATGAAGAACTACTATAGCTGTTACAGCGATTTCGCTGTTCCTTTGTGTTCTGGTTTTCGCAAGTGCGTATAGGGATTTTTGCAAGTGCGTATAGGGATTTTCGCAAGTGCGTATAGGAATTATTGCAAGTGCGTATAGGGCTTTTTGCATTCAGAATCAATACACTATCTACCTGTTTTTTCGTATACTTACAGTTAAATGATGCTCCTTCTCTTCTTTCTGTTCTATAGCAGATAAATAATTTACTACAACTATTTTTTCTTGTATTGTAAGTCCATCTGTTATATTTAGTGGCGACACCTAAAGTTAAAAAAAAAAAAATTGGCATTAGGTTGATGTAAAATTAAATGCATGTGTACATTGTCACATGTAAAAGTTAATTATTAAAAAGTTATTTTATATTTTAATATATTTCAAGACTTTTCCATGTATGTTTTTTTACTCATAGGGTCAAACTCGGAAAGTCGAGAAAAAACAGATGAATATTATATTTTAAAATCTTAACATAAATGGTACTTCAAAAGATTTTTCAGCCTACATGTATCAGAATGTTATTCGGGGCCACACATTACCATAATAGACTATTTTGATACAATATTCGTTTAGAAATATCATAATTACTACAAATAATCGTAAATATCTGTTAACATTGAAGATTTGAGTCATTTTCATGCAGTTTATGTGTTCATTGTGATGATTGAACTTCAGAAAGATTAAAAAAAAGAAGGTAATTGGTACGAGTTCGGGAGAGTTAGATCGGTTCTATCCCTTTTAAGCATCTTTTTGTGATTTAAGGAAAGAGCTCGGTATACTAAAATGGACCAAGTGATTGTAGAAATTATGCCGTAATGCAGAATTAATAACACTTCTACCATATAATTAATGTTTAATTCGTTTAAATGTCTGTTTAAAGTTTGTACCTGAAGACTTATCAAAGATGTTTGAATTCCCAATGATAATTTGACGAAACAAACAAATCAAAACAAATCAAAGACAAGCTCGACACAACCGTACAAAGGCAATACATTTTTTATTCCTATTATGCTATTCAGTTTAATGATGATATTAGTGGCGATCACTCTCTCGAGTGACATTTTTAAACAAATTTTTAAAAAGGCATCAATATCAAAGTGTCAAATATTCATTAATCTCCCATTTAACTTCTGTTTTACAGTGATAAATCCTCCCATGTGTCAATACACACAATACGTTTATGCACTCCCACACCTATCTATTTGTCAAATAAGACAGATCAGATAATAGATTTCACACTACAAATATCTATAAATCTTGTCATCTAAGATCTCACACCCTGAATAGACAAATAAGACTTAAAAATAGCCCTTACCAATATTCCAATGACCTGATTTTACCTGCTTAGGGCAACATTTTAAAGTCCTAGAAACAAGTGCAAATCTCTTTTCCATTTGTTAAAATAAAAAATCATCGCTTTCATGCTATTCAGTCGTTTTCGTTACAAAGATGCTTGAAATCGTCCTTCACAGCAAAACACAATAATATCGAAGTTTTTTCTTATTGAAAAATGTGTGACCTTTGTAATAAGTGGTTAATAGAACGATGAATTTAGGCTTTATATTAACTGGCATAAACATTAAATATGTATAAGATTTTGAAATGTGATACAATTATATCAAGATCACAAAGTCCGAAAATAGCCCATAAACCATTGTGTTTAACAGAAAGAAAACATGCTGGTTTTATTTTGAAAATTTCTTTAAAAATCAAGGTAATTTACACAGTGACCTTTTCCGTTCATTTTAATATTTCGAATTTATTTATTTATTTTTTATCTTAGCAACGCTTTTGACCAATTTGGAAAGCACAACATTTAAAATAATTGTAAGAAAAAACCAAACCGTCCGTACAAAACAACCAAAGTTATATGTGGGCATGACCTCTTATATCGCATTCTAAGACAGATCTCGTACCAGCAATTGACCTTGAAACACAGATGAATTTGGGCGTATGCTGAGGCGTTGGAACTTTGTTGTGACAGCAAAAAATAAAACCATCAATAAAAAACTAGAAAATACTAATGATTCAGTTTGAATGGTTCTCTGTGGTAATATTATAGACTATAAATACTAAGGGCGTAACAGAAAGGACAGTTTGTCAATTGGTCATGCAAAGATCAATGTCCAAAAACAAGACTGGTGTATATTTTATACGTTTATGTACTACATGTATGTAACTGCATGATGTGAAAGTTACACATCGTCTTCCTGTTTACAGAACTGTTGTTCCTCTACCTGGAAAGTCTACTTAAAACTGTTTATATATAAAAGGCAAAGACTCGTTAAAATACTAGACACTTTTTCGAGAAACTATTTATATGAACAACTTCACATGTTTTAGGTTAACAATTACACAGATGTGTAATAAATTTAGAAAAATAATCTTCAAAATGATATGTTTTTAATTGTAAAAGTGTAATGTCATCGACATTTTTATGATTTTTTTAATGTATTTACACCTTTCAAACATGTTAAAGATGAACATTAGATTATTTTTTAATTCTGTCTATGTGTGTCCTTTTTTTGTCAAATAGCTCCTTATACGTTGTAGCTTAGGGAGCTACCATTTGTATGGTGGGGAGGGGGGGGGGGGGGGGGCGCTAGGATGAAATTTGAAAAAAGTCAGGATAAACTAAAAAGGCAGGACAGAGATTACAACTAAAAAAAATGCAGGACAAAATTTTCATCCTATTCCCCCCACCCCATAAAAATCAAATGGTAGCTCCCTTATTTACGATTCACCAACTTTCAATTGTATAGGTATGAGCGTTCCTGGTGAAAGTGAATCTAGAAAAGCGCTTCGAATGCACGAGGTCTATAAAGTGTTTATTTCATATCAATTGTTAAAGATATTAATATATTGAACTACAGAATGCATAGGTTTTTTTTATATAGTTTGGTTGCAGCCTCATTTACGTGTATGCCAAACATCTCCATTTATTTATGATATTTAAAAAATTAAAACAATGTTATGTATTTCTATTATAAAATAATCTTTAACATAACTCCACGGGTAAAAGACTAGTAGAATAGATTGATTGATGGATTGATATTATCTTAAAGTCCAGTGGCAAATATTACATGCATGGTCAGATCGAAATTAGAAAAGACAAGACTTCATTACATTCCTAGGCTTAAGTGTACAAATTTGTAGATACAATCTCGTCCATTACACGTATAACAGAGAAAGTCACCTGGACATCACACTAACAATTGTAATGACTGTAGGCAGTCACAAAAGTAGTTTGAATAATTCAAAGGTGTAAATTGAATAGTTTATGCGCGTGGTTTTTAATAAAACTATTTTAGGGATCTTATTGAACATACCTTTGTTGAACGAGTGGGCTGGGGTGTACAGTTGGAAAAACCGTCAAAATTAATCCCATTTGCACTTTTAATACAATGTACAAAGAAACTTTTAAAAAAAGCGTGTACTATAGTTTTCGTGACGCCAGTTGAACAATGGGACAATCTATCTGAGTGAAGTGACGACGTTAAATAATTGATTCGGATATTTATAGCTTGTTGTATTGCATAGACCCCTGTCTATTGCTGAAAACCAATGATAACTTCTTTTTGTCTTTTGTTTTCGTTCTTATGTTGCTGTCCAATTGATGTATACAACCCACATCTTTTTTATATCAATGGGATGTACTTTTTTTTCCTTCTTTAACATCTAAAATACAGTTTAATACTGTCAACATCAACAAGACTAATGTTATTCCATATATGGTAGACATTACAGAGATGATGAAAATGCACATTATGACGTCATTGTATTATGATACCGAGGTTCGGATGAAATACATAAATGAAGCATAAATATAACTATCAGTCATAAACTTTATCTTTTAATCCTTGTGTCAAATGGGCTATATATGAACTGGTGTCGGTCAAATATTAACAGGAAATTAGCTAATGAAGACATTGTTTCTCTAAATAGAAAATCTGAATTTCGAAATTAGGTCAAGTTTCTTTATTTCAATCAGAAATGAATGACAGAGTCTTAAGTTCATATGACCAAAGCGCATGAATCATTTTGTCTTCCTATCATACTTTTTTCAATTGAAACTATTTTTTTTTCCACAAATGTATTTTGAATGGTAGTTCAAATTCAAACCCTTCTTTTGTTCACTATGCAGAGCTTGGCTATTTGCTGTATTGTTATTTTGTTTTCTTTCTTATTCCTGAATTTGCATGAAGTACGTGCCACTGGACGTTAGGAAATAACGATTAATCAAGCTATCATAAAACATCATTACCTAGTTGCGATGTTGTTGAAAGCCTTATGATATTTTATATCAGATTGTTATGGGAGATGGCATTTTTTTATTACATGCATTACGCAATTATGGTGAAGCACAACATGAATAATAGTAGACAACACATCGACTCAACACAGCAATAATGAATTAAAAAAAGAGTTTACTATGAAAGCAACGGAACTGGTTTGAAACTGTTTATGTTTACAATATTTTTAAAGAAAGAATAAAGAAATCTTTGAATTTTTTCTGTTTTAACTTTTTCGCAACGTTTTGTTTTTTGTTTTTTTTTTCTAATCGGGACGATTCAGTGCTTGGTATGTTGTATAGACATCTGTTTATTAATAAATACTTTTGGTAGTCTTTAGGGAGCTACCATTTGATTTTTAGAGGGGGGGGGGGGGGGGGGGGGGCTAGGATGAAAAATTTAGTCCTGCATTTTTTTTAGTTGTAATCTCTGTCCTGCCTTTTTATTTTTTTCACTCTATTCGGTCCTGCCTTTTATTTATTAGTTTATCCTGACTTTTTTTTACATCAATTTTCATCCTGTTTTTTTTTTTTTTGCAAAGTGTCTCATCCTGCCTTTTTTTTTACTCAAAACTCCTGTCCTGCCTTTTTTCAAATTTTATCCTAACCCCCCCCCCCCCTTGGTTATTTGTGTCGTTGGGTTGCTGTTTCATTGACATATAACCAATAACCATCATCTCCTATTATTCATTTATAAAAGCCACTACGCAGTTTTCCTAATTGTTAAATACGTCAATTTTATATTATTGCAAAGAAACTTATTTTTAGTATTGCTAGTATACGTTAAAGCTACCAATATTTATAGAACAATGTTGTGTTTAGAATTAACTATGTTTTCAACTGAGGCAATGTTCAATCATGCTTAAAAACATCCATCTTATTATTAAACTAACTGTCAATGTTTAACTAAACAAGTAAAAAACAAATATGTAAAAATATCCATAATTTGAACTATATCATTAAATGGTAGAAAAGA